TGGCTTTTAATCGTTCTCTGTATAAAAGTACAAAAATCGTTACTGGAAAGGAAAGAGTGACACGTTCGTAATAGCTAGATTCGAGACAAACGAGCATCAACCCGGTGTCGATGTAAGCTGGTGTACGTCATTACGGTTTGCCAACCGTGCGTCTTGCCACGTGTCCCGGAGGAGTTGCGTGCACTGTCTCAATAATGCCGACTGGTAGGCGCTGACGACATAAATATCGGCCGGTGAGACGCGTCCCAACGCGGGCCACGTCTGCGGGGGCTAGTTTTTCGTGGAAAAGAGAAAGGCACCGGGTGGAAGGGTGATGTGGAGAGGGTTGGCCGAGTCAGCGACCGGGATTCTCGTTTTCTTACTCGTCGCACGAGCCCACGTCCGCCCGGTTTTCTCGCGAGCGCTCGCCTACCGACGACCGAGTCACGCGATTCACGTCACCGTACCGCCTGGAGCCAGCCTGCGCGAGCTATTTCGCATTTGCATCGTGGCCGACCGAGCCAGCACCGACCACGGCACCGTTCGCGCTCTTAGAACGCGATTCAGTCGTACTCCAAAGCAATGAACGCGACTAGCAACTTGGTAGGGCCTGGATACAGTCGTAATAGAGGATTCTGGTCGCCAGATGTACTTCTTTCTTCTCAACCAACAGTTTTTAACAAACACTACCTTCGTACGTTTCGCTAAAAAAAAAAATACTGTAGACGTCAAGCTATATTAACGTCAATTACGAACGTACTGTTTTTGGATAATATTTGTCGATTCCAAACAGCCCTATATCTTTCATGACAGGACATTGACTTTATTTTAACGCGTTCAGTCTGCCAGGACAGCAACGACGCAATTCTTTTGGATTCTGGTCACCGGAACTTTTCTCTTCTAACAAATACTACCTTCGTACATTTTATTAAAAGTACTCTAGATATCGAGCTGAGTTAGTTATCAATTACGAAGGTAGTATTTGTTTGGAATAGAATGTAGAGGGTAGTGTTTGTCGATTCTAAACGATGTCCTATGTCTCTTATGACAGGACATTGATTTTATTTTAGCGCGTCCGATGTCCAATCAGTCGGGAGCAACGATTTTATTTCAACGAAGCTTTTCGCCAAGGCTGGAATTATATTCGAAATGGATATCACAGTTGGGCTGTCGTTAGAAACGAATGTAAAGTTTCTAGAAATATATTCAACGTATATAATCGAAATAATATGTAAAAATTGTTACGCACCACAAAGGGTTAATAGTGAGACCACCAGAGCGGTGAACTTAATCTTTGACGTTCCAAAAATATTACAATAAAAATCTCTGCGATATTATGTTCTAGTCATTCTTATCGATAACAGCCAACAACAGAATATATTACCAGCTCCTTTTTAACATGAAGACGCGGACTATTCGGAGCTACCTAAAGACACAAAGAACATCGCCTGGTTCTTTTTCGTTTCGGCAGCTATAGTTGGCTAACTATAGTTGAATAACGTAGTAGGTAAACGAAAAGGGGGTGGACGAGCACTGATTACGCTAGTGTAATTTCGAAGCGCGCAAAAGGCGATCCGGGACCTCTCTCTTCTTGAATTTCCACCGAGATTGGTCCCGAATACACACTGTCGCTAATCCACGACACCTTCTCTCTCT